AAATAAGACTGAAACCAAGAGCGAAGCCTGAGGACACCTTTCCTGAATAACAATGATTTAAAAGGTGACAACTTAAACTCTCTCCAAATTAGAAATAAGGGCTGAACTTGTCCTTGCCCTTCCAATCTGCGATACCACAGTTGATGTATTGTTTCACGGACATTTATGGCCCTGTGTCTGCCTACTGTCTGGCAGGTCCAAATCACTGCATAGCGTGACAAGCCAAGACACTGATTTGGAAAAAGTTATGAGAGAGAAGTCAGAGAAGACAGCATGACAAAATGAAGATGATATACTCGGGCAAAGCTGAGAGGGGAAAGTAAAAAAAGAAAAAAAACTTATTCATTCCTAAAACATATTAAAAATGTGACATTCAGACAGCTGCACCGAGGCCAGGTGCTGCTTTGTGAGGAAGCTGTACCTCTAAGGCGCCTCCACAGGACGCGCGCGCGCGCGCACACACACACACACACACACACACACACACACACACACACACACACACACACACACACACACACACACACACACACACATACTTTCTCTTTAATGTAATCCAGGCTTGTAAAATGGCTTCTGCTTATGAATTCTGAATAAAGGAAGCTATACATAAAGAAGCCCTATTCATTTGGACTGCTACGTTGACACATTTTCCCCTCAAATTTATGGGGAGCAGCTCATGTCCATGAACTCAGATAATGGCTTATTAGGATCTCAGCACATTTTTAAAGAGAAACTTTTCTCTGCCCTCTTATTTGATGAATCTGAAAGTGTCCAGAGCTTAGAGGATATCTAAGAGCATAATTTCACAGAGAAGTCTGCAAATCCTTTGATTTATATGTATTTCAGTGGTTTGACTTGTCTCTGCACAAGAAACACATGCTGAAGAACAATCTGCCTTTTGTCTCACAAATAGATTTGCTTTGTACACCTGCTTCAACAGCGTACAGTTAGCACTTCACACGCTTGCAGCAGTGTTTTAGGCTCTGAAAGCAATGCTTTTAGGCTGGTGGTGTAGAAAGGTTTTGGATGTTCTTTTTGCAGGCAAACCTCTGGTAGAACTGTGTTATTGCAAACCCGTGTTTCTTTCTTGGGGATGCCTCGATGCAGAAAGATGCCACTGCTGTTTGCATCGAACATGCAGGCTTCTCTGAGGCTTTTTAGAAAGAAAGGAACAAATGTGCTCACTACTGTGTAAAAGAGCTGTGTTTGTAAAGCACAAGAGATAAAACTCCCAGACAGCCTGTTTTGTAAATTTATGGTTTGAGCTGCTTTTTGTTAAACAGAGATATTGCCATGCTTTAAACGAGGTAAAGTCAGACATTTGATGGGCAATGGTGATATTTTTTGGATTGCAGCTCCCAGTGGTCGATTACAGCGTGTTATCACAATTTTACAACAACAGGCTGAGGCCCTGATTTTAGCAGAGCACACATGGTTTTATGTCTGACAGCTCAGCTTTTATTTTTATGGGTGTATGAAGGCTGATGCCAATATTTTTTAGAAGGAAGATGCCAAATAGCAAATATTTTGTATAGATATTCAGTGTCTGAAAAATAGCCCTCTATCAAACTCCTGGCATTTCTTTATTCCATATACTATATAAGGTTAACACCAAAATGGTTCTGTAAAGAAAAGATGGAAAAAATGTCTGTATACTGAGTTAAAACATTTATTTCTGTCCAATGTTGCATTATTTATTTATTTATTTATTTACCAAAATCTTGTATTGATGCTAGATTTTCAATATTCTCATTGGACTTAAGGTCTACACTCTGTGGTGGCCGATCCTTGTGTGAAAAATGATGCCCCATGCTCCCTGAACCACACGGTCCCAATTTGAGCCTGATGAATCCTGGCATTGCCATCTTAGAATATGTCTGTGCCATCAGGGAAGAAAACAAATCAATTGATGGAAAAGCCTGGTCATTCAGTATATCTAGGTGGTCAGGTGACCTAATTTTTTCGCCACATAACGTTGCTGAAGACCCGATCAGCTGAAGAAACCTGAGATTAGCGTATGGTAGAAAGGAGTCATGATTGAGAAGTGTTAAATATCCTGTTGCCATCCTAAGCATATTAATCACTCCAGAAATTATCCAGTTACCTATTTAATCCGAGTGACTTTTGTTGTAAGCAGTGTGTGCTTAAAGTGGACTTAATCATTTTTTCTGAATTTCATCATCAGTGTATTTGATGGCTAACAGTAAACAGAAACAGTTTATAGTTTGTTCAGTGTACCTTCCAAAATGCAGAAAAATATAATCTCTCTCTGACAGCTCAAGCTTCAGACCACAAGTTTGACAGGATTTCTGATCCTGGACCTGTTTGTGTCTTTGGCTATAGGCAGATGTGAGATCTTGTAAATGCTGATTGGTATAAAAAACGGATTTCAACCCTTTATTACAAAGGCCTTCCTTTTACAGCCTTGCGTGTTGAAAAGGAGTAGCCTACATTATTCCCCATAATTTCACAATATTTTTCACATTTCACCTAATCTTGTTTTGTAATTATAGCATCTGCATCTATTGTAGTTTTCATCTTTCCTTGTGAAATACTGGATTTGCCAAACTCTTAAATAAGTAAACCTGAAAATAAAAAAAATATGAGACAATAATTATGTGGATGTTACTCACCTCAGCGCTTGTCCTCCCTTATTTGACATTTTACTACAGAGACTTCAGTCCACCACAGTAATAAATAATGTTGGTTTAAATCCTGTTTATCTGATACATTCCAGTTTCTTCCAATAAATCAGGACTCTTCAAAAGTCCTTAAAAGTTAGTCAGAGTCAGAGTTCACCAGGGTTCTGCACAAGGACTGATTCCTCTCTCGTTATATATATTAAAACTTTAGCTGATATTATTGAAAAAACAAACAAACAACAGAAAACAGAAACCACTGCATACATTAAATGTGCACTTGTAGTTCTCTACGAAGCCAGACAACACAAATAAATTAGTTAAACTATTCTAAATACTGAATTATCATATGCTGCCCTAAAAATCTCTGAATCATAACGTCACAGTGAGCAACCACAGAGTGATTATATGTCTCTTTTCTTAAATATTGGCTTCCTGTAAATCCAGGTCCAAGATCTTTCTCCCCAAAAAGACTGCAGACTTGTAGTTCGTAGAGTTTCTAGTGGGAGGCGGGGCCTTTAGTTACCAGGCTCCTGCCATGGTGCACCAGCTAGAACAGCGGTAGGTCATCTACTTTTAAGATTATGCTTAGAACCCTGAATCAGCCTTTAGTTATGCTGCTATAGACTCGAGCTGCTGAGGAAACTTCGCATGATGCACTTAGCATTTCTTCTCTGCTTCCCTTTTATTCATTATGGGAAGCAGAAGGCATAGCTTACATGCCATTGTTAATCACATGGCATGTCATACATCTCTGCTTCTCCTGCTTCTGCAGGTGGTCGCTTCCTGTTAAAAGTGAGTTCTTACTCCTCACAGTTGCCAAGCTCTGCTTGTTGGGAATTGTTATTGTTTTCTCTGTAATATCATGGGGTCTAGGTCATGTTATCAAGCACTTCGAGACATGTGTTTTCCTGAACTTATCTATTTTAGATAAAAGGCTAAAAAGTCACATTCACAATGAAGTCAAAACATTATAAATGCTAAAAACCACAGCTCTGTTTGACAAATACTTTCCTTTCAAGCCTGATTCTGTTTGTATTTCTTTTCTTCTCTAATAAGGACCAACATTTCAGATATCAAAATGTGACAGACAGACAAGTGCGACAAACAAGAAGGTGTTGTAGAGACACGCAGTGAAACGTGATGATTTGTTCCCCCTAGGGTTCGTATTTTATTCATCAGGACTTGATGCATCCAAGTATAGGATCATTCGGTTTTGGCACCTTCAATTTGAACAACACATTAAAAATCAAATGAAACAAAGAAATGACTAAGGCTGTGTGAGTTTTAAAAATAAAATACATACATATATTTATATATTTATAAAGAAATCGACCAAACCATTTAAAAAAGCAGTTTTGTTCCATGTAGATTGTTTGGTTCGTCTCACAAAAGCAGTAATGAACTAAATAAATAAATAAATAAGAAACATAAGAAAAATACACATGAAAACATTAATACTTTAGCGCCTTGGCTTTTCCCCCCCCCCTTTATAATTATTAACCTTTAAAACTTAAGTTTCTCAAGAGCAGATTTGCTGTAATTTTATAGCATGCATTTAATTTCTGAAATTGTGAGTCACTTAGCTTCTCTTGTACTATTTCATATTTAACTTGTTTTTATTTTTGTGTTTGGCGTCCTCTTCTTTTCCTTGCCCTCTGCTCCTTCCTTTCTTATTTAGCAGAAGTCGTGTTTGGAGTCTTCGCTTTGTGTGACCTTTAACCCCCTTTTGTTGGCTCTTTCTGTTAAGGGGTTTCGACTCTCGCGTTACGACCCCCCCATATAAAAAAAGAAAGTGAACAGGGACCAAGAAAAAGATGAGAAGGTTCTATTAAAAGATATTATTCTACTGTCTGCGTCTGCCTGTGGTGGCTGCTGTACTGCTGCTACCTGAAGGACCATCTCTTGTTCTCGACCTTCGAATGAAAGCATACTAAAAGAGTCTTTTCTCATATTAACAACAGCACTTGGTTTAGTTAACTCGATTTTTTTTGTGTATGTGTGTGTTTTTTTTCTCTTTTTTTGCTTCGGTAAAGTCTGTATCTCTTGATTATTAACGTAATAATTTATTTATAAAAGTAATACATATATATATGTATACATAGTACCTTTGTTAGAGATTACAGATTGGGGTAATTCTTACTGAATCCCAAGCTGTAACAATTCACAGTTTTAATGCAAAAAAAAATGAACAAATCAGTCAGTAAATAAAAGAGGTGGCAGGCTGGCTGAGGGGGGAGCTTGACCTGTTGCTCCAACCAAACTTGTGGGGCAATACTGTCAAACATAAGGGCAATGAAATGATGAAACCAATTCTTTGTCTCATAAATGCCCACCCCTCCCACCCTCCCTGTCAGCGCCCCGAACCTCACAAACAAATCCTGCTCAAAAATACCTGACAGAGCTCACTTCCTTGGGACATCCTGTCCCACTCTCAGTCCTCTGCCATTCAATCCAGGAACACAGCAGACTTGTTGAAACTCTCTCAACAATGGTAATGGAAAAGTCATGCAGCTGAACAAAAAGAACAAATGTCTATAAACATGGAAATCCATCTTCTCCTGGGGCGTTCTCCACCCACAGGGGTTTCCGTGTCTCCTGGTCTCCGCCGTGCTGGCCTGGCCTGTGTCGACTCTCTCATACAGGCGTGGTGCGGCGGTTCGCTGTGTTGGTGTGGCTCGAGTCTTTCAAGTCCTTCTGGATGCAGTTGTGGACTTGCAGGAAGTTGTGGTCCCTCTCAGAGTTGTAGGTGGCGGTTGGTGTGCCGGAGGATTTGAGGGTGTCCCGGGGAAGCGTGTACATGGAGATCTCCGTGGATGGCAGCGCGCTGAAGCCCTTGAGGCCCATCGGCGAGGTGTCGCGAGAATGTGACGGGTCTGTGGAGCGGGAGGAGGAGCGCGAGCGGCGTCTGTAGCGGTAGCGGTAGCTGGGGATCCGTGTTATGGCCGAGCCTTGGAGGTAGTCGGCCGCGCGCGCCCCTATTCGCAGCTGTCGATGGCGGTCGATGAACATGTGCACGGCCAAGACGCCCACCATCTCAGCCATGATGAAGGAGAGGGCACCGAAGTAGAAAGACCAGCCGTAAGAGTAGCTGTTCTTCTTCGAGTCACTTTTTGAAGGGTCTCCTGCGTTGGCTGATATGTACACAATGATCCCGATGATGTTGCTCAGGCCTGACGTGTTGGGAGATGTAAGATGGGCACAAAATAAGGGAAGAATTGTCGATTTATTGGGAAAAAAAGATAGAGGAAAAAAGACAAAGAGAAAACAAGACACAAAGTATCAGTCAAGATGAACTCAAGCCTTTAATCCTGGTAACTTACCATTCACGCTCACACCAAATATGTTTAGAGTGCTGATTCAGGCACTGTACACAGTCTGCTAATCCTGTCCAACTCCTCATCCAACACGGCTGATGTTACAGTCTTAATCTTTGCCCTTTCTGTGGCAAAAAAGGACATTTATGTCTTGTCTAGATTGAAATAAAGCATATATTCTGTGTCTGAACATATATCCAAATATATGATCTCTTTATATATATTTACGTCTCCATCTATATATCTTACTTTGCCTTTTTAGTTTAGTCACACACACAGAAATGTTTGACATGGTATTTCTGGGAAGATGGATTGTAGGGAAAGTGTGTCAGGGACACCATATTTTTAGAGATGAGTCCCAACGGGTGGTTTTTAGCCTAGCAACAGGACCAAGAGAAATGAAAGGAAGGGAAGAGAAGAAGTGACTTGTAGCTGCAGTGACAGACGTGACCAGCAGCCCGAGAGTTTTCAGCATGGCCTTTTGAATTCATGGTGTAGAACATTAAGTTTTAAAAAAGTACTTTATAGCAAATACTGAGAGGAAAAACACCAACATCGTGTCTGTGCAGTAAAAATTAGGGTGCATCTGAGATTTTGTTACCTTTACACAGAGCCAAGCAAGCAGCTTCCCTCATTTACACTCTATGGGAACATATTCACTTGATCTCATTTTGAAGTACACTGTAAACCCAAAGAATTTAGCAGAACTTGTTGATGAACTTAAATGTTTCAGTTTATCAGAACTCTACTATATTGTGTACATTTCACATTTACCCTTTTCACTAAAATAAAAGTAAAATGTTTAATAATTACATTGAAAAATATTTAGTAACTAGAACTTAAAGTTTTCATTCATATCTGCCATGAGAACAAGTTGACATTACCTAAAAGGAATGAGTGAAACACAGTCACATTTGTTGTTCACTTTTGTGATCTTTTTTAATTACACAAAACTCAAAGATCTGGACACTGAAAACTCAAAAACATGTCACACAAACTGTACAAAAACCAATTGTGTACTTCAAAATTTAAAAGCACATTTCTTCAGTTCAACAGTATTTTCTTGGCCTCCACTGATGACACACTGCACTGTTAATATTCAAAAATATCAAATGCTAAAGACATATGTCTTTTTCAAATAGCAGATGTGACTAATTACACTGTAAACTGATGAAATGCTACATTTTTAAATGCTTATGTACAACCGTCCTGGTTCTGTTATTTTACAACCTGCTTTGTTAACATTCATATTCAAAATAATGACCATCAGAAATGTCTTGAAGTTCAGTTATTGCAACAAAAATAATAAAATAAAACAACAAAAACAATACTGTGCTCTGAGACGGTGATGCACACTTTTGGGGAACAGTTTACCAGATTACAGAGTACTCTCAAGGAATACAGTGTTGTTCAGTCCCTTGGTAATAGTTGTAGTAGTAGGTGTAGTGCACAGATCACTCCAAACATGACTAAGAAGTTCATCAGCAGTTCTTGGGAGACCTCCACAAAGTCACTCTGAAGGACTTTCACAGTCTGGTAATGAAGTGGGTTTTTGGCAAAGATTACTATAACGAGGGCCGTGGCATCATCTCAGATATGGCTCATTTGATTCGTCCTGAATGAATCAGAGAATGTGATCACAAACTAATTCTCTAATTCACAGGACTATTGTATGACAGATCACCTCTCCAGTTAATCATCATAATCATCTTCATCAGAAAAGTGGTTTATACTTGTTGTGACGCAGGAGATTCTGCAAATCTTTATAATACGTTAAGTCTTTAAGCACCATCCAGGAACCTTTGTTGTGTCGGAGTTATGTTCAAAAGCCATGTATTATTTTAGCTACAACTCTGCATTTTGTAGTTGTTTTGAGAACAAACTACACGTGGGTAGGTAAAAACAGATGATCTGTGTTCTAGACTGTAATCTGTTCTGAGTCCACTGAACCCCAGTGACAAATAAAGAGGAAAAGCTGAGATGGTCTGGGCGTGTGCAGAGGAGGAATATTGGATATAGTGGACAGATGATGTTGAAAGTTGAGCTGTAAGGCTGGAGAAAAGAAAGAGGAAAGCTAAAAATTAAAGCAAAGTGAATTCAAGAATAGAATTCAAAGTCTCAGTTTGAGGTTCATTTCAAATCTCTTTTCATTATTAACATTTTACATTTCAGCCAAAACTTTTGCTGTCTTACCTGTATTAGGATACTTCTATTTGAAAAAAGTAATTGACTGAATCAGATGGCCATTAGGTTTGGCGTGGAACGTGTTGGGCATGTTCTGTTTGAACCCCTTTGAAGGTTGGTGCTTTGAGTACACCTACATCGGAAAAAAAGTGCAAGTTATGACCTTTGCTATGGTGAGAACAAGAACCTATGCCTCTCATCAAATTGAGTGAAGTAGCTAACACATTTGGATTCTGGTAATATTAGATGTTGCTGCAAGAGACTGAAACGAGAATTCTGACTTTCAAAAGGCTGAAGTAACATATCCCCCCCATAAAAAGTTTATCCATCTCTCTACATCAGGGGTGTCCAAGTCCAGGCCTCAAGGGCCGGTGTCCTGCAGGTTTTAGATATCACCCTGTGTCAACACACCTGGTTCATTACCAGGCCTCTGGAGAACTTCAAGACATGTTGAGGAGCTCATTTAGCCATTTAAATCAGCTGGACACGTCTAAAACCTGCAGGACACCGGCCCTTGAGGCCTGGAGTTGGACACCCCTGCTCTACATGGTCATATCACGAAAGGTTAACTTCTCTTTGCTTTTACCAGCTTATGTCACTTTTTCTCCAGTTCTGAAATTTTCATTAATTCCGTCCCCTTAAGTTTGAAAGACTTCATCATAATGTTTATATAGGACAGAGAGCATTGTATCAAAAAAGGACAAAAAAAATCAAATACCTCAGAATAACACATTGTCTATAGTAAAAATGTAGCAGTCTGTCTCAGCTACCACGGTGAACTCATCTTATTAGCTGTTAGTTTATTAACTGTTAGCTAACGGTGCCACTGATTGAGAATTGCTTTGCTGACATTTCACTAAAATGGGTTGGAAAAAAGTGAGATCTAAAGAAAAGTAGAATACTTACTGTGATACAAACATTGGTGGTTCAATGAGTCTTCAGTCCCACCCACTCACATTTTAAAATCAAACTACTGCAGACACATGGGCGGACCTCCATATTTGACAGGAAATTACAGCATTAGTGGAGTCTTTATTAGTACAAAACAAACCTAGATAAAAAGGTCAGGTTATTGTTTTTAAAGCTTGCAGTTGATGCAGATTTTTATAATGGCCTAATAACTGCACTGCACTAAATGAATAATTTTCAATTGTTTTTTAAATGTTTAAAATGTTTATGAAATGTTCCAAAAAAAAATAAAAGCGACAAAAAAAGAGCAAAAAAACCCCCCAAAAAACAAAACAAAACAAAACCCCAAACAAAAACAATTTGTTAAACTTTGTGGATAATGTTAGTGAAAGAACCTGTGAGCAACTAATAAAAGACAAGGACACTTTAATTCTCGGTCCCTGTTCACTCATTGTCTTTTCCCAGAATCTGAATCAACCCAGCTGCTATAGCAGACTAAAAACAAATATCTTTTATATTTGGGGTTCAAACTGACACCAGGAATCAAAACCTTCCAAAGATGTCGGCCATATAATTGAAATAAATTAGTAAAAGTAGCGAGCACTTAATAGCCAAAATAGTTGAAGTTGATCCAAAACAATAAATTATGAACTAATTCAAATGTAAGAAAATTTTAGATGAACATAAGCTATTTGAGTTAGTAGGACTGTTTTTAAAAAATTAAGTTGACATTTTCTTAATGTATTTAATTACTTTGAACATTTGGTTTACAGTGTAGATGTAGTCTAACCTCCAGCTTCCAACAGTTTAATGTTTATCCCTTCTTTAAGCAGATAATCGTAACAGATTATGAATAATACCTGCTGGTTTCAACTGTTATGTGGCATTTAAGGTAAAGTGACCATCAGTTTGCAAAAGCAAAGACAATATGTTTGATTGATTTCTTGTATTGTATCAAAATAGTGAATTTGTTGCTCAGTAAAAGCAATTTTACGTGCGTTGCACTTGTCTGCTTTGTAATTAGAGCACATATGCTTGTACCCAAACTAAATGTACATTTCATCTACATGTCAGTGCATTCTGATGTTATTTATTTGCTTTGGGGTGAAAAGATGCCATGTTTTTCATGAAACAGATGAATGATGAATTCAAAAATGGGGTTATAAATACAGAGGGTTGACTGATACATTGGGCTGATACTGCCATATCAAACACAGTACTTAAATATATGTTGTCCAGTGTGAATACTTTATGACAGAACATAACATAGAAAAAGAGCAGTGCATTAGTTAGCACTATTGCCTCAAAGAAACCCCTGGGTTCTTATGTACCACCTTTCTGTGTTTGCATTGGTTTCTCCAAGTTAACTAAACATACATATCAAAGGCATGCATGCTAAGTTAACTGATTCTAAATTGGCCTGCTTGACTGTGAGTGCGAATGATTGTCTGCAGCCAGTTCAAAATTAGTGCAGATGGTTTGACAAATTCTCAAGCTTTTGTTTCATTTTGCGGGTGTTTGACTGACCTGCAGACACAAAGAAGATCCCTGCGCTGAGGATGATGTTGTGGCGTGACTTGTAGAACTCACTGGCAGCTATACACAGGCCTCCCATGAAGAGCAGGATGACGCTGAGGATGGGGAAGATGCTGGAGGCTCGCACCGCACCTGGAAATCAGTGGAAGACGGGAGAGGGAAAAAATTGGGGAGAGGGAGGCCAATGGAGAATGGGATGTGATTTGGTGTACACACAGAGAGAGGACAGCCAAAAGGGCAAAAAAGAAAGTGGGGGAAATGGCAGGGATGAGCATAAATCAGAGGGAGCGACAAACAAAGACAGAAAAGCATATTAAGATCCATTTCAGCATCTGGTCCTTGTTTGTGAGCACATCCTAATCAACACCCCAGCAGGCCTGTGAAAGACTCCATCAACACTGTCTAGTGAGTGTGTATCCCCACAGTGAGCCTGTTACCCAACCTTATGTAATCACACTGCTTGACTCTACCTCTCTCTTCCTTTGCACACTTCTCCACACACCACAGAGCAAACCGGTTGCTTCATGTGAAAGGCGGTCCACAAAAGCGCTACGAGACTCTGGCATGTATATGAGCCAGGCCGCAGTGCAGAGGGATACAGCCTCTGTCTTTGAAACAAAACAGTGTCCTTGCAGCTAATTATCATGAGGAAAAAAAATGGAAACAGGATAAGATGTTACTTTTGAGGTCAAACCAGGGTCATAAAAGAGCTGCACTGCACCCTGGGGTGTCAGGTAAAATTAGAGTTTGAGAAGCACACAGTTTCTCTCTAACAGTCACCTCCTGCCATACTTTTGCCTCTCACACTTCAATTTCCCCCATCCCTCCCCCTCTCGCCTGTTTAACATGCACACTTAGACTTTCATCAGGGTGGTTAAATTTTCACCACTTCACCTCATCTCCCCACGTTGCTGCCGCCTCAGCACTTTTCTCAGCTTCTCCCCAAAGTGCTGACACGGGGCTGGGTGGCTCTGTGTGGAGCTTGGCCGCTTGCACCTCCATGGGGACCAGCTGGAGGTCCCAGCGGCCCTTCTGCCTGCCTACCCGCCGCCATTCATCACTTCCCTCCTCACTTGATCTCTATCCTGGATCCGTTTGTCTCCTTCCCGCTGAGCACCGTGAGACTTCTTGGCTGATTGCTGGCTCAGTGGGAAAGCTACCTTGTGCCCTCAGGTGGGCTGGTTGGCATCAGCTAACAGCTGCAATGCCAGTGGTGGCCACAGCTGGCAGGGCGTTCACCCTCCACTGGGCTCTCACTGGTAACTACAGCAAGATAGGTGACTGCTGAGGCTCTGCAAAGTGTATGCGATGGATGCCGTCATAATAAAAAATGAATAACAATTAGAAAAGAGTTGGCTGCTTGATTTCTTGATCTCACTCAAGACTATCTTCATCAATTTAATCCAAGCAGCAAACTCTACAGCTGATAAATGAAGGCAGCATCAATGTGTCAAAAACTGCAGCTCTGGCATTCAAAAAGGATGTACCTTTGTTTTGATGAAGGCAATTCCAGTACATTATTTGTATGTCACTTTGCACTAATTAGCAGGTATCTGTGTCTGTGCATTGCAACCTACACTCTATGTGTGCAGCAATCTTTCTACTCTTGGCTGATAAGTTATCCCTTCACCCTCTTATCCCAATATAATTATATCTAACTCTGAAAGGAAAAAGAGATGCGAGTGTCTAAAACTAATAGGTGATAATATAATAGCTATGTCTATCTTTGTGATAATGCCCTAGGGTGTTTTCTGACATTCAGACCTGAAAACATTGATAAATTCAGTCATGAATTCTTCTAAAGTTTTATAGGCAAAGATGACAAAAACCCACAAAGTTTTGATATGACACTTGTGACAAAACTGAAATACAGTAAGTCTGTTGGTAAGTAAAAAGGCATGTATTTAAAAACATATATCTCATATCATCCACAATAATACAGAGCTCCAGTTTGAATAGCTCTTATAGAAGCTCAACAACTTGGAAATTCACTAAGGGCAAAACAGAAGTTCTTGTCAAATTGTAACCATGCTGTGATTAGTCTCTTAGTAATTTAATTGGCTGAATAAACTGATATAGGCCATAACTCCTCAGACTGAAAAGTGAAGGCCAGTGAGGAAGTGCCTTAAAGCTGCATTATTTCTAATAGCCAGCAGAGGGCGACTCCTGTGAGTGCAGAAAAAATGTCTGTTTGAAATCTAAGGGGAAAAACAATCACTGGTTAACTTAATCTATGACTTTAGCAGACAATTTCCTGATAAGGTCACAGTTTCAACTGTTAGTCTCAAGTTATAGTCAACACAACATAATGTTGATTTTGTGAATAACGGGCCCAACTAAGGCCAAAAAGCATGATAAAGTTTAAAGATGGAACAACTATTGACAAGTTGCTGGATTAAAACAGTACACTGTCTCTTAGTTTCTCACTCATATCCACCCTTTTCCCTTTCAAAACACCAAGGTGGTAATGGCAAAGCTAAGCTTGAGGATGCATTGGTTACATCAGCCAAAAATCAAGAATTGAGGTCTTGTTTAGCATAAAGCTGAGATATGGACAAACACAAGAAAGATAACATGGTGCTGATAGTCTGTTGAGACCATGACAAAGGGTTTTGGTCTAATTCCCTCCTGTATCTCTAAACCAACTGAAACTCACGCTGAGCTCAGTGCATGGTTGGCAGCAGCAGTGCCGGAGTGGGCTACACTGCATAAGCAGTGGTGCAGAAAGTGAAGTGAGCACACAGAGGTTTGGATAGGACATGCATCCTTTCTCTGACATTGGCAACTAAGATTTTCAGCATATAAAGTGTGGAAAGGGTATAGCCAGGTAACGAGGACCTAACCACAAACTAACAACAAGTAATGATTGCGTGACAATTAGCTAATATGAAAAATAATCAGCAACAAAATTTAAGGATATGTCTTCATCAGGTTTTCACATAAAAAGGCTGTTAAAGTGGCAAAAAGCAGGTAGGGAGCAGGTGAGAAAATAATAAAAATACTTACATTATAGATCCACATCCCACTGACAGCGCTCAGGAGGAGGCACATTGTTCACAGGTTTCATAGACTGAACATTCAGCTTTGGTGTGAAAGGTACCATTGTATGAAAATAGCACCTATTTGGATAACAGCCTATGACTGTATTTTTGGATGTTATGTAAAGTGGTGTAACGGACAGCAGTGTCATCCAACACTGCTGGTCCAGAGCAGATATTTCAACATCTAGTGACCACACTGACCTGAAATTCAGTATGGTGATTTGTGCTCCCCCAGAGGATGAATGCTAATGATTTTTGGTGACCCCATGACCTTTCTGTTCCGGGCATTACGAGGCCAAAACAAAAACAAAGCGAAACCGCTCCTCATCCCTAGAGGATTCACACTTTCATGCATTATTTGATATTTTAAATTTTAATGAGTATATGACATTTGGTGGGTTTGTTAATAGATCCAAACATATATATAGAATTAATTATAATGATCCCAGAGCTGACAAACAATTATTATTTTTTTATCTCCAAAACTGCCAACAGCCTGAAAAAAATTAAATAAAGTACGATGTTCATTCTGTTCTGCGCTGTACATGGATGAGACGACAGTTATCAAATAAATTACAATAAAAAAACTGCTGCTTTTACATTTTACACAGAAAAATCTGTTCAAAAAATGCAGACTGGATTTGTTTAAATAATGTTTGTCTGAATGGCCATCTGGGACAATGAATGCAAGGCCCACACTGTCACACAAATGCTCTTTACTTTAGGATTTATGGATTCACTTGTATATTTTTAAATGATGTAAGAATGCGCTGCCATACTTTTTATTTAGGATGTTACTATTTAAACAACTTGTAATGTACTTAAAAAAAGAAATTATGAGATACTGCATGGAAACAAAAAACTGTTTGCCTTTATTTTTTTTACCTTTTATATTGTAAAATCAATGCTGATGAATTCAATCAAAAATAAAAAATCCGATATATTCCATCCATCTATTTCCTGCTGCTACAGATTTCGCGGGAAGCAGTCTAAGCAAACACAGAGACTTCTGAGGGGACACCGAGGTGTTCCTAAGACAGCTGAGAGATATAATCACTCCAGCATCTCCTGATTCTACCCTCTGGTAGGGTACAGGCAAAACATAAAATCAGACCCTTAAATTTTAGTTAAAAATTCAAGTTAATCATCCAGCATACCAAAGACAAGCAAATGATTCTAAAACTAAACATCCCGCCATTAAAATTACTTTCCATTTGTGGTGTCACATGGGTGCCAGAAATTACAGGAAGAACTCTTTTGGGCATTGAAATGAGAACAATTAAGTGGAAAAATCTACGGAGAGCTTCAATGAGGTGGTATTTGTTAAAATTTCTCTGCTATGAGCAACATGGATAGAAACGATTTAATATGTGAAACCTTAGTGTTTGATCTATAAAGGACCTAGAGAGCATTCATGTTTCTGACATTTCCTTTAAATTCATCCTAGCTGATCAAAACAAAAGACCTGGAGCACCTGGTTTTGGATAATAGGATGAAAATGACTGAGCTGAAGAGATTCACGGATCAGTAGCACCTTTATGAAACTGTTTCTGACCTGACATTGTAATGTCTCTGCTCCCTGCCCCACCCACATCCATCATGCCATCATTCAACATCACGATGTACTTATCGTTATATTTAACCTTGCCCGGCCACTGAGCTCCAATCTGTATGATGAAGAAGACTTTAATGCCGTTATTCGCCACCTTCCATTTTTCTTTCATGTGTCTGTCTCTGTCTGCTGCACACAGTCATCTCGCCAACTTTGTCACACAGCAAACGTCCCACATCTCATTTTTTCTTTGTCTTCCCCCCCATTTCTCTCTCTCTCTCACTTAATTTGCACTCAGTCAAAGCACAAGGCAGTTTGAGAGATAAAGTGTCATCTCGCCCTCCCCCCTCTCTCCCGCTTGTCTCCTTGCTCATCCACAGGGGATTGTGGGGTTTTGAGTAACCAGTGAGGGGGGATGATTAAATATTAAGTTGTCCTGAGAGTTGACCCCGCTCCTGTGTCCCACTCTAAACGCACCACTCTTCCTAAATGCCTCCCCCTCACTCTCTGCCTCCCTCACCACCTCTCCCGTTAACCCC